TTACCCTTGTCTGCCTCCTCCTTTTCTAAGATCAGACTAATCCACTTACTTGGATCCATTTAACCCACTTGATTAGTTTTTTTTTTATCATTACATCAAAGTCAACTAATATTCATCCCATTTATGTATACTCCTTTAACATGGTGTAATAACAATACAGTTCTCAAGAGATGCAAGTGTCATCTTCCCTTGTAGGGATGTAAACAGTCCACCCTTATTAACAACATATTGTATCTTTCTGTCCCATTTACCTTTTCATGTCTTTCTTGAATCTTGTACTTGAAGACCAATTTTTTATTGAGCTCTGGTCTTTTTATCAGGAAGGCTTGGAAGTCCCCTATTTCACTGAAAATCTATTTCCTCCCTTGAAAAATCATGCTCATTTTTGCAGGGTAGTTGATCCTTGGCTGTAATCCAAGCTCCTTTGCCTTATGGAATATCATGTTCCACGCCCTGCGGTCTTTTAATGTAGAAGCTGCAAGGTCCTGTGTAATCCTGACTGTGGTTCCATGATATTTAAATTGTTTCTTTCTGGCTGCTTGCAGCACCTTCTCTTTCATCTGGTAATTTTGGAATTTTGCTATTATATTCCTTGGCATTGTCAATTTGGGATCTCTCTTAGGTGGTGAACAGTGTATTCTTTCTATGGTTATTTTACCTTCTGGTTCTAGGACTTCAGGGCAGTTTTCCTTTATGATTTCCTGAAAGATACTGTCCAGGCTCTTTTTTTCATCATGATTTTCAGGTAGTCCAATAATTTTTAAATTGTCTCTCCTGGATCGATTTTCCAGGTCGGTTGTTTTACCAATGAGGTATTTTACGTTTTCATCTATTTTTTCATTTTTTTGTTTCTGTTTGACTGATTCTTGCTCTCTATAGAGTCATTAGTTTCCATTTGTCCAATTCTAGTTTTTAACAGATTGTTTTCTTCTGTTATTTTTGTACTTCCTTCTCCAATTGGCCAATTGTATTTTTAAGGGATTTGTTTTCTTCAGTGTACTTTTTTTCCAGTTTGCCAATTGTGCTTTTTAGGGACTTGTTTTCTTCAGTGTACTTTTTTTCCAATTGGCCAATTGTATTTTTAAGGACTCTTCTACCTCTCTCATTAGACTTTTAAAATCCTTCTTGAGCTCTTCTAAGAAGGCTTTTTGGGCTTCAGACCAGTTCATATTCCCTTTTGATGTTGCAGATGTGGGTTTGTTGACAATGTTGTCCTCTTCAGAATTTCTGTCTTGATCTTCACTCTTCTCATAATATGAATCTATGGTACATTTCTTTTTACTCATGGTTTCTTTATTCCCTGGCCTTTAAAGAGATTGAGCTCTCCTGCTGGGGAACAGAGGGCACTGACCCAAGCTTCTTGTGTTGGGAGCCTAGGTCTTGGTCACTGGCTTTGTGTGCTGGGGCCTCTTATGTTGGCAATTGGAGGCTGTAGAGTTCTGGCAGCTTACCTCATGTTGGGCTGGAATCAGCAAGGCTGGAACTTTCAGGCAATTCTAGGTTGCCTGCTTTTCCTTTCCTTTAGCTTTCTTCAGGTCCTTTTAGATGGGTGGTGCAGGGTATTTATTTGCCTGGGGCCCCTTCCAGTGCTGCCTCCCTCTTTTCTGCTAGTGCATTGGGAGGTTCCCTTGCCATAGAGTGCAGAGGCACCTTGTGGTTTTCTGAGCTGGTTTCCACCGGTTCTCCCCCCTTCACTGAGGCACTTGGAGGTCCAGGTGTTGGTGTTTGCCTGCTCTACCACCTGGGCTTCAGGATCTCTTCCTGGTTGACAGTTGGAGGTTCTGACAGCTTACCTGGTGTTGGGCTGGAATCAGCAAGGCTCAGACTTTAGGAAGACTTTAGGTTGCTTTCTTCAGCTCCTTTCGGAAGAATGCTGCAGGGTGCTTATCCTCCTGGGCCCTTTGTAGTGCTGCTTCCCTTATTTTTGCTGAGGCACTGGGAGGCCCGTTTGCTGGGCTGCTGCACTGCTGTTCCCCATCTTTCTTCTAGTTCAGCTGTTCCAGGGTTTGGTTTTGTTGTGTTTTTTTCCCGGGGTGATATTTTCTGGGTTTTCAGAGGTTGATAGGGGAGGGTGAGAGCAACTACCTTTTTACTCCGCCATCTTGGCTCCCAGAAGTGGAAGTTCTGAACCTGTTTCTTCACCTGCAGAATTAGAATAATAATTTTTTAGTACTGACTTGATGGTGTTGTTGTAAGGATTAAATGAGATAAGGAGTGTAAAGAATTTCACAGATCTAAAAGTACCATATGAATGTCAATTATCACCATCTTTGTAATCACCACCACCACCATCATTATCAACAACCAGTCTTATGATTTTATTAATGTAGGGAACTTTGAATGAGAAAATTCCTTCTAGAAATGCAGATCAGCACCTCTTCTGTGACATGTTCTTAAAGTAACCCCCAATATACTGACAAGTAAAGAAATGAGGGTACCATACACAAGGGCATGAAAGAGAAAGTCTGGAGAGTCAAAAGTACAGCCTGGATCAGAATGGCCCATCTGATGTTCTTCTTAAAATGGATGCTCTGGGAAGAACCAGACAATCAGAGGAAGTGGCCATACAGGGGGTGGATGGTGAGAAGTCTAGGGGTAGAGTGAATTTTCAGGCTAAAGAGGTTTTGAGGGCAAAGTGGAGATATTACAGTGTCAGGAATAAAGCCTGGAGAGGAATGTTTAAATGTGCTTCTTTGCAACTTCTAAACCTTTCTCCTAGGTCTACCCTTTGGGGCCAAGCAACATAAATCTAATCTCTCTTCCAAATGAGAGTCATTCAAATATTTGAAGATAGCTAGGTCCTCCTTGAGTCTTCTTTTCTTTAGGCTAAACATTTCTAGTCCCTTCAATCACTTCAAACACGAATGATTTCCAGTACAATAAAGAAGAAAACATAACTTGCCGACATCTATATAGAGCTTTAAGGTCTGCGTAGTACTTTACAGTCTTCACCTCATTTGATTCTCATGACAACCATAGAAAGTAAATACTACAGGTATTATTATGCCCATTTTACATATATGGAAACAGAAATCCCAATCATTATGTGACTAGCCTATGGTCACAAAACTAGTACTTACTGGAAGGGAGGATTTGAACCCAAGTATCTCCTAATTCAAGGTTCAATTCCATTTCTACCACACTACACTGGCAAAAAATGTATGACTATTTTTTAAATATATCTAGATGATGTTGTGATTAATACAAATTAGTTTTTTTAAATTACTAAATTCTTGGTGGCTTTTGTCATTATGTGTTTTCACAATCCACAGATACTTATAGTGTATCTGTTATCATTTCTTCGTCTGTGAAATTTTTTTTTTACATAAAAAGGAGTCATTTTTGGAAAAGTCAAGAAACATTTACATATATTTCAGTGAATAAAATATATATGTATTATATACATGTATATGTATATATATGTGTGTGTGTATATATGTATATATATATATTGTATATATGCTTATGTGTATGTATTTTTTACCTCTATATCTGCTTACATGAAAGACAGCATGGAATAATTAATAGCAAATGTTGAAACTAAGAAGGCCTGGGTTCAAGCCTTCCCTCTGATCATACTGGCTGATCCTACTATTCCTGGGCAAGTTACTTCACCTCTAAGGGCTCTAGGAAACTCTTCAAGACTCTAAGTTGCAGAGAAGGTGTTGACTTGCATTGTAGAGGGAATTTCCTCATCTAGAACTTACCTATACCAATGAAAGGCAGCTAGCTGGTACAGTGGATAGAGTGCCAGGCCTGGAGTCAGGAACACTTGAGTTCAAATCTAGCCTCAGACACTTACTAGCTGTGTGATCCTGAGCAAGTCACTTAACCCTGTTTACCTCACTTTCCTCATCTGTAAAAATGAGCTGGACAGGGAAATGGCAAACCACTCCAGTATCTTTGCCAAGAAAATCCCAAATGTGATCATGAAGAGTCAGACATAACTGAAATGACCCAACAACAGAATATCAATGAAATCACAGGTATGGTCTCTATCCTTATCTTTATCCCTATCTACTTACATATGAATGGATGAGAAAGCATTTATTAAGAATTTACTATGTGCCAAGTACATATATACATATATATGCTAAGTTCAACTATATACACATATGTGTGTATGTAGATATATGTGTATATACCTACAGTTTACCTGGAAGGACTTTGGCTTGGGATATCCCGTCCTGGGCATATATGTGAATCTCATTGGGAGAGGGGAGAGAAAGAGTTGGGGAAGGATGTATTTTCTAGGACATGTGTCTAGATGACGTCTTAGGTTGATGTGAGCATCTTAGAGTAGGTGAGAATTGATTATCTTCCTGCAGAGACTACTAGACTTCTTACTTGTCAAGTATGTCGTAATGAGAATTCTTTCCATGTAGGGGTTGGATCAGATGGTCACCAAAGTCTCTTGCCACTCTTAAATCCTGAGACAATTGCAGGAACATAGTCAACTTGGTATGATCCCCAAGAATAGAGGCCTATTATATTGTCTTTGTTGGATTGGTAGAGAAAGAAAAGAAATAGAGAAAAGAAAGCTCGTGTCTCCTCTGCCCACCCCAACTCCATCACAACTTACATGGCTACCCTTCAGGCACAGGCTTCTTCTATGACTATCCCACTTAAAGTCATGCCCCCATCATTCAGCAAGGGTTTGTCCATACCAGACAGTTTGTTCCTGATTCTATTTCCTTCATCACTCCCAGATCCACCAAATCCCTGGGAAATAAGAATCCTTCAGATAGTAGAAGGTATTAGTCTTTAGGGGAATAACCAGAAAATCTTTGCCTACATTTTAGGTTTAAGGAAATGATTGTTTGTTTGTTGCTTGACATAGCTCACAATAGTAATGGGTCGGCTTTTTGGGGGGGGGCTGTTTTGAAGTACCTATGTCTATAGAGTAGCTCTGAATATGAACACAAATTAAACTATTTCTGAATGCACCACCCTCCCTGCACTGCTGTCTGCACAGAATAAGGGACTGTATATGAAATATGACAGTATATGAATTTGGTTCATTGAAAGCCACAGCATCTCAAGAGGTTTGCATTCAGCTCCCTCTGGAGGATCCTTCACTGTGCACCCACAGCACAGAAGTACTTAGCTGAGTCACTCTCTTGGGCTGAGAGTTTCTTCAGGTGGAAGGAGGGTTTGCTCTTGTTAAATTCTGCTTCAAAACCTTTGATGCCTTTAACCAGGTTGTTCCCTGATGTATATTTCAATAGTAGCTGGAGCCCTTGGTTAGGATACTGGATGTACCAGAAGAGAGATGGAGTTGCCCCATATGAATAGGTGCATTTCAACTCTAGTTGATCCCCTTCAGAGACAGTAACTTGGTCTTCAGGCTGAGTCACTGACTGAGCTCTTGTTCCTCCTGTAAAATTAAACCTGCATTACAGAAATTGGTATAAGACTGTCCTGCTGAAGCGAAAGTATTGCTATACATATTACAACCAGAGAAGAAAAAGAATGGAAATAAATGGAAATGCTACTCACTCAGGATGAAGAACATCATAAGTGCTGGGATGGACACACAGATCATGGCTGAGCAGTGAGGAAGTTGGGAATCCCTTCTACTAGTCTCACTTTCACAAAAGAGAATGGGTGTATGGATGTTAGAGACCCAGGACAGGCTGCGATGAGGAATATTCTTTACTAGTAGCTGTCCTTGGTTGTCCTCATTTCAGAGCCTGGTTTGGGAGAGAATCTTTTTCAGTGATCTAAGTTGCTTTCTGGCTTTAGACTCCCACTGGTCCTCAAGGTATCTGGAGAGTGTTCAGTTTGAGCACTTTAGAGAAGCTACAGGGAGATAAAAACTCCCACTGAGTGTTGCTGAGCAGTTATAAGAGGCAAGTGCCATTAGTGTAAAATCGCCCTCTGGAGGCCAAGTCAAACGTGGAGTATCTCAAATTTCCTAGACAAAAGCCTCCTCCCCCTACCTTCAGACCCTCTATCCTGAATTACTAAGCAGCTCAACCATGGCTGTCAGGCTTGATTTATTATTGCTTTGCCCTTAACCAGAGCCAGATCAGGATACAATGGAAAGAACATTAACTTTATAGTCAAAGGAGTTTGGTTCAAATCAAAACTCTATTATTTACTACCTGTATGGCCATAGGCAAGTCGTTTAACTACCACATGTCTCAGTTTTCTTTCATGTAAAAGACTCTTGAGGTCTTTTGTAGCTTTCAATCTGATTTTAGGATTTTTCCCTAAGGGAGAGGCATCATATTATAATGGAAAGAACACTAATTCTGGAGTTGGAAGACCTGGATTCAAATTTTGTCTCTGATAGTTCCTAGCTGTGTGACCTTGAACAAGTCATGTAACCTCTGTAGTTCTCAGTTTCTTAATCTTACAAACATGATAGTTGTGCTAGAGGGCCTCTGATGTCCCTTTCAAATCAATCCTATGATCCTATGGACCTTAAGGAGTCTATCAACTCATCTTACCATTCCTTGGGACAGCCCCGAATTGATTTGGAATAGCTTGAAGAAGTTATGCCCTCCTTCAGGCAAAAACTGGGTCATTTGTAAGTTGGGTTATATTTGGGGTTTTTCTTATGTATGGGTTGGACTGGATGGCTGCTGAGGCCTTTTCCAATTCTCAAATTTTGTGATTTTAAGATAGTTCAGCTCTAAAAGAATTATACATGTTACTCAGCTACAAATGTTAGATGATTCTCTTCTTCCTTTCCTTCCAAGTGTCATGCTTATTTTACCCTCATGTTCCCAATCCAGAGAAGTATGTTTCTCTGCATCTTCACATCCTTTTCCTGCTCTATTTCCTCCTTGAAGCATTATTTGCATTCTTTCAAAGAAAACTTTATCCTCCTTTATAATCTGGGGAATAGATCTGCATCCCTCCAGTCCTATCATTTCCCCAAAGATGGACATCAATTTGTACTTCATGCATACATAAGTTTCACTTAGCCCAGAGAGAAACACAAATATTGGATTCTTTCGGGAAGTCACTGCAAAACCCTTTTGCTTTTACTTAATTGGAATGAGATCCCCAATCTCTCTCTCTCTCTCTCTCTCTCTCTCTCTCTCTCTCTCTCTCTCTCTCTCTCTCTCTCTCTCTCTGTCTCTCTCTTTCTCCCTCTCCTCCCTCCCACTCTTCCTCCCTCTCCCTCTCCCTACCTCCTCCTCTCCCTCTAACTCCCCTTCCCACTTCTCTCCCTCCTCTCTCTTTTTCTGATCTTCTCTCTCCTCTCTTTATCTCTGTCTGCCTCTTTTTCTTTCCTTGTTTTTCCTCTCCTCTGTCTCTATCTGTGTCTCTGTTTTCATCCCTCTCAGGTGACTCCATTTGACTAATTTCTTTAGCAAAATTCTATGGCAAACTGTTTCCCAAACATGTTTGCTGAGCTGGTGAGTTTATTTGCTGAGGAAGCTCATGAGTGAACTTAATTTATTTCTGACTGACTTCAGCTTTTTCTGGAGATTAGACAACATAACCTAGATAGAAGTCTTTAACTGAGAACTAGCACCTTGGTGACTCGCCCGAAGGCAAACAGAAGTCACCACACAAGCCAAAATAAAATTATCTAATTATATTTAATTACCTACTGAGTTTGTACTCCATATGCAGGGCCTCTTCTGAGAGAGTTCTTTTTCAAGGGTAGAGAAAAGCCAGGGAGCAAGTGTTATTTTTGAATTGATTCTGCTCTGTCCTACTTCCAAAAGAGCCATAACTAGCAACTTTGTCACCAAGGTAAATTCAAATATAAGCAAGGAGTAGGGGAGATAGGGTGTGGAGAAACCCTATACCACTATACAGCCATTACTGGGGAGGTTGCCACAGTGAGAAGTGGGGGCAAAGTAGGTACATTGGATTTGTCAATGGCCAATCAGGCACTATGCATAGCCCACCCGAAAGTGAGCAGGGTGAGCATTACTTCATCAGGTCATAGACTTTAGAGGCCAGCCGGCCCAGTGCTCTTATTTTAAAGTTGAAGAAACTGACTCCCATAGAGGTTAAATTATTTGCCCAAAATCACAGAAGTAGTACATGGCAAGATTGGAACCTTGATTCTTTAACTCCAAAGTCAGCATTCTTTCCACTTTACCATTTTTTAACATTCTTTCTACTTTACCAAAGTAATACCTCTATAGTATGTGCCTAGTTCCAACATGCCATGCTCCTAGAAGCATGGAAATAAAGTAACATGAGCAGTGTGCACTATGTGCTTTTGGTTTACTTTAATTCAGCAACACAGCAAATATCACTTTTTCCACAACTGACTGGCCCTTAATTAAGATAAAATATGGCTGTCTTTGGCCTCTGATTATGTGCATTTCAAATTCCCTCCAGTGAGAGTATTGACTCTAGACCTGTGCAGTCTCATGCCAGTGAAAAACACGAGTTCCTGAAAAAAGAGAACTTACATTTTGCTTTTATATTTGGGAGGTGAAGGTGGGTAGTGGGGAAACTTGCTTCTTAATTTCTCTATTTTCCAAAATTCTAATTGGTAAGGAGATGAGTTGCTACCTTTTGCCTACACTTGTAAATTTGTGCCAGCATCTTTGGCCATTATAATTGACTTGGGTAGAGTGGTAAGAAGAGGGATGGAAAATAAGACTGGTCTGGATTGTGATCAGCTTTGAAGGATATACATAGCATACAGTATGCATGTAGGGTGAGACAGAGGGACAGTTTCAGTGTATTGGTTTGTTACTTACATGGCCTTATAGTTATTTATCTTATATAGGTGCATAAAATTTAAAAGTTGAGAGGTCTATACTGAAAACTTTGCATGTTTGCAAAAAGCATTGCTTTTTGAGTCCAGCCATATACATACATATGTATGTTGCTAAATATTTAGCAAGCAAACTATTACAATATATCTCTATGTGTATATGCACATATATATATATATATATGCTAGAACACATATCTCTATCTTGAAATATTCTGTAAGAAAATATGTTCTTGAAGACATATGTCTTCAGAATGGCCATTCATTTGAAATGTAATAGTTATTCACTTTCCTTCTAATATAGCAACATGGGACCCTACCAGCTTATTAGTCTAATTATTCTTGCTAACTAGGTGCTAACATCAGTTGTTTCTTCAGAAGGAGCACAACCTTTGTCAACACCTCCCAAATTTCAGTGCACCAGGGAGAAGCCCTAGTCACTATGTCCTTGCTATTACTCTGTCCTTAAGACACAATCACAAAAAAAAAAGACACAGTCACTATGTATTTACTGACACAAATATCTAGCTCTAGCTTTTTGCTCTCCCTACTGCCAGTTACCTTGTGTCTGGTATTAGTAAAAAAGAATTTGAAAAGCAGAGCAGTTGAATAGACTAGGAAAGCAGTATATGTATATATACATATGTGTGTATGTATGTTTGTATGAATGATTGGATGGATGGATAGACAGATACACAGATATGGCAGGATTCATTAAACCCAAGAACATAAATAATTGGGGAAAATATTATTTATTTCTGAGACAGCTGTAAAGCATTTAGGAAGAAAATAAGTATAGACCAGCATCCTATACTATATGTCACAATAAATTATAAATGTATTTTAAAAATCTAAATCTAAAATGTCACACCATTACAAAATAGAGAAGAATAGGTGGTTCTATCCTTCACTGCTTTGTATAGGATCAAAGACTAAACTTGTTCCATTTATCCTCGGAGAGAAGGTATAGAATGTGCGAAATAGTTGCAGAGAGTGATATTTCAGCCCAAAGGAATAAAAAATTCCCTACCAGAGGTGTCCAAGAAGAGAATGGTTACCTGAGGGCAGGGGAGGAATACATCATTTTTCACTGGAAGTATTTAAGCAGGGAATGGATGACCAGTTCCAGGTCATATTGTAAGAAAGGTTTATTTGGCAGTCATTGAATGGGATGATTTCTGGTGTGTTTTCCAACTCCAAGATCCTGTAAATCTATTACTGACTCATTTTATATAAAACATTCCAAATAAATATTCCTATTAAGCCTGACACTATAGAGCCCAGATACCACTCCATCCCCACCCCCCATCCCATCCTCGCACCACCTGTCTTTTTTGAATATTTTATCACTTTCTTCTCTAGCGTGATTTTTTTGATCTCATATTTTGGGACTGGAGCACATTTTCAGTCCTTTTTTATTATGACTTCCTCATCTCAAGTTAAGTAGATGGGTAAGATGACAGAAAAGGAAGATTTTTTTCCTTATCAAGATGCAATGCTGATGTCCTTTTCTGTAGTCTTTGATTTTTGATTTTTTGATAACTTAGTAATGAGTTGTGTTGTTGTTTTTTTTTTTTAACAAATGCCTTTCAAATTTATCATGGACTACAAGTTCACCTCTTCCCCTGGCACAGGTTCGTCTCTCTTCATGAAAGCTCCTTCAATGGCAACAGTGAACTCTGCCTTAGCCCTTCCTTTTCGGAAATCTTTCTGGAACCAGCCCTTAGGTAATTTGAATGACCCAGACCAGATGCCCCAGAGAAATCTGGTGGATGGAAAGGCAAGCAAGAAAATGGGGAGTTGCCTCTCAAAATCCTAGAAGCCAATGGGAGCCAAAGAGACACATCTCCTAGGTGCTGAGATGAAGAGGAAGCAAATGTAATTAACTGACCTGATTTAAAAAATGGAGCTAGGAGCAGAGACTCATTTAAACAGTGATAAAAAGAAAAGGACATACCATGAGAGATCCTTGGAGGAGCAGGAGAGGTCTATGGGAATTAGATGTATGAAGCTAGTTTCGAAAGAGTGGAAGCAGAGGGGGTGGAGCCAAGATGGCAGAGTGAAAGTAGTGACTTGCTTGAGCTCTCCCCCAAACCC